CAACATTTTGTGGTGGAAATGACAGTCTAAACATTTTTTAGATAAAATAACTGATGACTTTTTCTCGTTAAAGCTAATTTTGAGGCTAGCATTTAATGTATCCAAATTAGAACAAAAATGAACAATGTTCAGTTTTGTCAGAATTTGTCAAAACTGCAGCTTGATTCAAATATTAGCGATATTTTACGATTTTTTTAATCGTTTTTCAAGCCTGCTCTGCACCGACACCGTTGTTTACTCGATGATCACTTTCGAACGCTTGAAAAAACTTTATTAGCAGTACAATTGCTGACAGTGATTGAAATTGTCACAACTGAGAGCCAGCCATAATTTGTGTTTCAATTTTCAGACAGACACCAAATTTTTGAAATGGTTTATGATGAGTGAACCAATTTTGTTTAGATGATTAAAAATTGAATTAAATGTTAAATTTAATCACTTTAAATCACTTTAAAAGAGTGAAATGAAAACATGGTAAAAAAAAAGTTTCCAAGACAGTTTTAATGTGACCATAATATATCTAATAGAAACCAGTTTCTGAAGTCAAACACCCTTTTACAATTGTTCGCCGTGAATTCAGCATGCAAATATCATTTGAGACAAAAAATCTATTGAACAAACTAATCATCAAATTGCTACTTCTGACATTTTGCAGTTGTTTTCTGTCCCATGGATGGACGCAGTCTTTAACAGGCGTCGGAGCAGACGGCCCTCTGGCACTGGGGGAGGGGGTGCTGGTGTGGACGACAAACTCGCTGAAAGTTCTCAAGGAATCATTTCTATTTCACACTCCACTTGGCTGCTGATTTGAGATTGTGTGTTAGCATAACAAAGCCGCAGAGCCTGTGAACTTGGGGGACCTTTCAACCCCGCAGCTCTGCCGGTGAATAGGCTTTGGCTCTGCCAATGGAATCCCTCCCTGCCTCCCCTGTTCGTGGCTAAATTGTTAATCAGGGTAATTTAATATAGTTTTCAATATGCCTCATCTCTCTTTGGGAGGGCATTCACAGCTTCCCTCTCCGCCCCAACCGAAAAACAGCCCGTTCTTTCATGCAGCCCCAGACGGGCAGCTGCAGTCTGGCCTCCTCCCCGGGCTGAAGTGAGCCGGTATCATGCATTACTGCGGTGAAGTGGGGAGTGAGATGAGGTGGATGTGAATGTGGAAACCTCTTAGCCTTGTCTGACTCTGAGAACGGGGGAGAGACTCTCTAGTGGGGTTTTGGGACCGTGACGGAGTCTTTGCACACAACCAGACAGCCCGTCCCACCCTCGGTCCATTGAGATGTCCAACTTTAAAGTTCTCTGGATATGTTAAGCCATAGTTTAGCTTCCTCGCAGCGCATGGGAACATATGACAGGTTCTGTAATTTTTGCTTTGATAAAATATATACACTGGCCAATTTAACGGATCAGGTGCATTTTTAATCCAATTATAGCTAATACACGCATTCATGTCTAAAAAAAAGCCATTTTTTGTTTATTTTAAATAGTGAATGAATGTTTATTTAAATCTGTTGCAATCACCCTAGTTTTAGTGCCTTTGTATCTTAATACATGTATCATGTTATTAAAAATACATTTTGTCCAAGAAATTCTAAAAGTGGAACTTATAAAATATACAATTTTACGATATATGGTAAGGTTACTGTGTGTGTGTGGTTCAGGTTGACCCTAAATTATGGGGACGCAATGTCCTCCTGTGTCCTTGTTGGGACATTTTTTGGTCCCCACATGGAAAACTGTTTATAAATCATGTGATGTTTTTAGAAAATGTAAAAATGCAGTAAGTTTCCTGTTATGTACCGGTTGGTTTAGTCGTAGGGTTAAGGGGAATATAAGATACTGTGTGTACAGTATAAAAATCATTATGTCTATGGAAAGTCACCATAAAACATGAAAACACATTAATGTCCCCCTATTATGCTATTTTAAAGGTTCCTAATTAAAAGGTAAAAAATACTTTTCTCATTATATACACTGCAGCATCAGCTCTTTTCTAACAAAGTCTGAATGGGTTTAAAAAAGAATCTGGTCTCTCTAAACCCCGCCTTTCACAGAGTCTGCTCTACTCTGATTGGTCAGCTGTCCCCGTCTGTTGTGATTGATCTACTCTGCTCTGATTGGTCAGATGATCCAGTCTGTTGTGATTGATCTACTCTGCTCTGATTGGTCAGATGGCCCAGTCTGTTGTGATTGGTCTACCCTGCTCTGATTGGTCAGATGGCTCAGTCTGTTGTGATTGGTCTATTCTGCTCTGATTGGTCAGATGACCCAGTCTGTTGTGATTGGTCTATTCTGCTCTGATTTGTCAGATGGCTCAGTCTGTTGTGATTGGTCTACCCTGCTCTGATTGGTCAGATGGCTCAGTCGGTTGTGATTGATACTCTGCTCTGATTGGTCAGATGGCCCAGTCTGTTGTGATTGGTCTACCCTGCTCTGATTGGTCAGATGACTCAGTCTGTTGTGATTGGTCTATTCTGCTCTGATTGGTCAGATGACCCAGTCTGTTGTGATTGGTCTACTCTGCTCTGATTGGTCAGATGACCCAGTCTGTTGTGATTGGTCTATTCTGCTCTGATTGGTCAGATGACCCAGTCTGTTGTGATTGGTCTATTCTGCTCTGATTGGTCAGATGACCCAGTCTGTTGTGATTGGTCTATTCTGCTCTGACTGGTCAGATGACTCAGTCTGTTGTGATGGGTCTACCACTTACTGTAAAGCACATCAGAAAGAAATGGTCATTACCATATTTGAATTTCAGCTCCGGATCTTCCTGACCGCTTGATACACAGTGATACAAACAGTAACAATGGCGTCAGTTTTACTGAGTCCTCAACCTCTGGAATTACATGTAGTGGATCTACTTTCCCAGCACTGAAAACAGTGTCGACAAGTTACAGTCTGAGCTACTACAGTGTTTGAGGGTCAAATTAGACATTGTGTGCGGGCAGCTAATGAAGATCCCAGGCCGGCATTATGTAAATTTGTTACAAACCTTTTGTAGGTTTGTGCAGCAAGTAAGAGTGGAATCGCTGAGTACTCGTTTCAGGCTGTTCATAATCTGTTTCTTTTGACTTTAAATAAGACTTTTATCACACACTTTCATCTTTGAAACTTTGCAGACATTTTACATTCACACACAGCTATATTACACACTGCATGAAAGGTAATGTTTGAAAAAGCACAATAGGGGCACTTTAACCAGATAAACATGTTCAAAAACATAAATATTGCAATAGTGCAGAAAGACAAGACATGCGCAGAATTGTCCTGAGACAGCTCATGTGCTGCCCACTGCTGGCTTCACCAGTTTTAAGAGTTATAAACTAATTACTGGAAGTGCATGGTTAACATCTGCTGGTTATTTAAAAACAACTATTGGGCTTGTTTAGTGTTTAATGAGAATAAATAAAAGCTCCAATGGACAGGCACAGTCTTTACAAAGAGACATGCCGGTCCTCCTCACCTCAGGCTGTGGAGTAGATTGTGAATCACGCTAATTAATTTCAGTGGCACCTCGTCTAACAAGAGTCTCCTGAGAGGAGGCTGTTAACATGAGAACCAGTGTCCACTCACTGACCAGATACTAGAGCGTGCGTGAGCACCCCTCAACTCAATGATGCATTGCTTAATAATTCATATCTTATGTTAATTATATAGGGCCTATTTTTGTCTTTTAGTTTTTAATGTCAGTATTTTTAATAGCTTTCACTGGTTTTCCAACATATTTTAGTCAGAAACAGAATGTAGATTCTTTTGTTTACTTTCTTTTTTTTTTTGCTGAACAAAATATTTTTTAAAGCTAAAAGGGACAGTTCACTTTGAAATTAATTTTTGATGTTTTAGCTTACCTCAAGGGCATCCAAGATGTAGGTGTCTTTGTTTCCGCTTTATTTTCAATTTTGATATTTTTAGGTCAAACCGTTCTTGTCTATCATATAATGCAGGTCTATGGTCACCACCTCAAAGAGCATGCACAGAGAAGTCCAAATTAAACATGATTTAATGACTCGTAAATGTAAGTACAGATTGATGGCGTAAGACACGAAACGAGCGGTTTGTGTGAGAAAACGAACAGTATTTATATCGTTTTTACCTCTTGTAACCACAGCCACGTGATCTGAAGGCACGGGCGCTTTGTTTTCCGGAAAGCGCCGGAAGTGATCTCTTGCGCGGTTGCGAAAAAAAAAATCAACGTCGTCTGTTGATATATTGAAATCGCCTTCCTAAATATGTTTAGATCTTCACAGTGAAGGGTAACACTTCTAAAATCTCTGTGTAAACAATGAGTGACGTACATGCGCGAGAGATCACTTCCGGGGCTTTCCGTTGCGCTTGCGCAGACCGAAGCGCCCTCGTCCTCAGAGTACTTGGACATGGCTGTGGTTTCAAGAGGTAAAAACGATATAACTACAGTTCGTTTCGTGTCTTAGGACATCAATGTGTACTTACATTTACGAGTCATTAAATCAGGTTTAATTTGAACTGTTCATGCTCTTTGAGGTGGTGACCATAAACCTCCATTATGTGAGTGACAGACAAGAACAGACAAGAACGGTTTGACCTAAAAATATCAAAATTGAAACTACTGTGGAAACAAAGACACCTACATCTTGGATGCCCTTGAGGTAAGCAAAAACATATCAAAAATGTATTTCAAAGTGAACTATCCCTTTAAAGAGCCCCAAATACTTTTAGCTGGTATATGCATGTAGAATTTGTCTCTTATGTTATTATTAATATTAATCTTATATTGATATTAATCAATATCTCCCCCTAAATCACCTGCCTATGATGAGCAATGAAAAGTACACATTTTTTATAACGCAAACTAAAAGCTTTTGATTCATTCAGTTTCATTCCACTTTGTAACATATTATGAGTACAAAGGCTACATTATATCATTCATTCATGAAAACTGACATGCTCTTATGATCTGTGATATTTGGGCCATCACGCACACACATGAATAATGGCATAAAAAAGGAAACATGAACATATTTTGATCAAATATCAGTTTTTATTAAATACATTTGCAAATATTTTTACAGACATATAAATATCAAATACACATTATATGTAGACTTTTTATTTATATGATATATTTTACCCCTTGTGATTGAAGCATCTTCATAAGATGATCTGTGAGTTTTGACTGACCATCACTAAAGGGATACGTATCCGATTAGATCCTTCCCATGATTCCTTTATCATCCTTCATTTATCTGCCAACCCTAGAAAGACCAAAAAAAAAAAAAGAATGTGCTATAAATGCAACAGTTTCAGAGTCAAATATGCATACTACCTGATTATTTGCAATGCCATTTTTTTTCTACAAGCTCCCTGATTTGATTTTCTTGTTTTTTGAAGTGTATTTTCTATTCCTATTTTTCCCATTGTTCACGTCCTGTGTTTAGTTCCTGTTTTACTTTGTTTCTATCTGTTTGTTGCTTTAATGATTGATTAACCTCACCTGTTCCTCGTTAGCCTCTCCTCATCCGCTGTATTTTCTCCCTATAGTGCTTCAGTGTCTGATATTGCCTGTTTTGGATTTTCCTATATTTGTTGTTGTCAGTTCTGCTTTTCCTGTACTTTTTGTCTACATCTCCCTTTACCTGGATTTATCTTTTGTTTTTTTTCTTAATAGACTTTTGCAATTGGATCCCACTCTCTGTCTTGTTCTGTGAAACATCATGTGGTGGCTGTAGTTAAAAACTGTTCATATCCAGCTCCATATATAATTGATGAACACACTGTGATTAAATCAGGAGGAAGTTTGAAAGAGGAAACTGAATTCCTGATGTACTGCTATCCACTTCCACAGAAGACAAATATGAGCTTGACAGATCAGCAGAAACTCATTTTCTAGTACTATCCCTTGACATTTGCCTTATTTTACAATTATTTCTATGCTGAAAAATTGTGTCCATTTGGCCTTTGGCTATGGTGAACTTGCCATGTTCAGCCATTACATTAGACGTGGGAATGAGATGCGGAAACATTCATCTCTGAGTGAAATTAGACCTTCATTGATCATGACGAGATATAAATATATCAAAATACTTAATTTTGCATGCTTTTTCATTTCAACAGACGCTGTGTTGTGTCAGGTGAATGAAAGGCCTCTGGATTGCGACAGAGAAATATACAGAATTGCTTAACTGAAGCCAACATGAGAAGCTTTTACAGGTACAAATGCTATTTTAAGGGTTATGAATCTGAGAGTGTGTGTGCTGCTCACAGAAGGAGTCAGTCTTGTTAGCACATTGTGATTTCACACCTAACCACCGCCATCCTTTCACTGAGCGAGGTGTGTGTGTGTCTACTTGATGCAGTAAAGTCTCAAATATCTCAAACATTATGAATATAAAGTGCTAATGGTCTCTTGATTATTCTCACATCACATACTTGTCTGATGCATAATTGTACCAAGAAAAAGTGGCATTTATGTTATCTTTTTAGAGATAAATCTTCTACAATATTCAATTCTATCTAACTGAACTAATGCCTAATCCTGGCTTTAATCTAAGCCCTGTCTGTGAAACCAGGCCTTAGTGTTGTCTCTTTTTTTACATAAAAAAACATTTAGTTTATTTTTAGTTGGTAATATTGTTGGTTTAACTTAAAAAGAAATTAAGTAACCTGGTTGCCTTAAAATTTTAAGTTCATTGAAATGAAAAAATTGAGTTAATACCATGAAGGAGATTGAATTAATCATCAGAAACTCTAAATATCATGTTATCTGAACTACATAAATTATTTAAGTTGATTTGACAAAAGAAAAAATGTTGTGATTACAAATGATGAAAATATTTTTTTTTACAGTGTGTTTCTTTTATTCTCGTGTTGTTTTAAAATTAATAGCCTTTGTGATTTATGTATCAATTATTCTTATGCTAATCAGGGTACAGTTTCCCAAGGTTAGCGTCACAGATGGCAACAAAACCTCACATGCATCTCGTCCCCTTTTACTCTCTGTCAGACTGTCTCACAAAGCCTGGAAGAACTGAGCAACAATATTTGCATACTTTTGTCCACTCTAATCCTGCATAACGCATACAACACGGGTGTAGTGTAAGACCACCACCCCCTCCGACGACACACACACACACACACACACACACACACACACAGCAGTCAAAATAGAGCCAGCTTGAGAAACTGATGTCATAATTTGTTTATCATGTCCAACAGGAAGTGTTTCCACAAAACTCTTTTCACAGAAAGATGTAATTATATATGTTATCTTTTTTTTTGTAATATTTAATGGCTTCTAATGTCTTCCTGGGAAATGAGAGGTTTGTAATATATATATGTATATATTAGGGCTGTCAAATGATTAATCGTGATTAATCACATCCAAAATAAAAGTTTGTGTTTACATAATACATGTGGGTGCACTGTGTATAATTATTTTGTATATATATAAATACACGCACATGCATGTATATTTAAGAAAAAATATTATTTATATATAAAATATTTATATTTATATATATAATATAAATAATATATAAATCTACAGTATATACATAAAAATATTTCTTATATATATACAAGTCTCTGTGTGTATTTATATATATAAAATAATTATACACAGTGCACCCACATATATTATGTAAACAAAAACTTTTATTTTGGATGATTAATCATGATTAATCATTTGACAGCCCAGATATATATATATATATATATATATATATATATGTACATACACTGTAAAAAAATATTTTCAAGATTTGTTATCACAACATTTTTTCTTTTGTCAAATCAACTTAAAGAATTTATTTAGTTGTGATAACTTATTATTTTGAGTTTCTGATGATTAAATTAATTTCCTTCATTGTATGAACTCTCTTTTTCCAGTTAAACTAAAAATTTTAAGGCAACCAGTTTACTTACTTTTTTAAGTTAAATCAACAAAAACATTTTTACAGTGTATGATATGAAAATGATATATGTAAAATAATAGGTATTTAGGTAATGTTTCATTATTTATTGATATTATAAGATTATCTAAATAATTATACATTTTATATCATTTTTTTGTAGTTTATAATTTTGAAATGTATATTTTATCAGTTAATTATTCAAAAGATGGGGAAAAATAGTGATTATTCTAAAGCGCTCATGACGAATCACTTAGTTTTAAAATTAGTATTTTTAATTAAAACAAAGAAGACTAAATAAACTGATTTTAAAACTAAGTGATTCATCAGTGCACATTATTCAAAATTTCATAGTTTTTCATCAAACTTAAATATTTGTTCTGACACCTTTCTTGCTGATTTATCCAAGATGGACAAACTCAAATTAACCCATACAGTTTTTCTTAATCGCTTGTTTATTTTTACACTCTCTCACTCTTACACTAATATCACAAGAACTTTTCACAGTCCAGTCAAATACGACAGCTTTGAAAATAGTAAGAATGTCTTCGGTATGATGACACTTACTGGGCCTTATGTAGTCATTTACAATGTATTATGCAGGATTTGGTGAGACCTCCACAAGGTTCAGCTAAGCTTGTGTGAACTCATTAGGAAACATTATCTGAGACCAACGAACCTCAAAATATCTCCAAAAAAGCAGCTAATCGCAAACCAGAGCATTGAGTTCCCTTCCTCTGAGCACTGTCCTGGTTGAATGGCTCGGGGTGGCGGACTCTAGTTCCTTTTTCCCATTTCACACACTAGTCGAAATTTTATCCCCACAAGAACGATGAGTTTTCGACCCAATGTGCTTTCTGAGATTACAGAGATACCACAGGCTGAAGCAATGGAACGAAAGTGCGTCCATTTTCTCACACACAAAATAATAGATAAATGGTTCGCAGTGCTTAGAAATTTCTAAAACGAACAAAAGACCCCCATTTTCAGCACATACATACTCATTAAGCACACATATAGAGGCCATGTCACGACTTGAGGAGAGATTTTATGCCTACCATGTCTTACTATTATGTAAAATTAGGTAGGGGAGAGAACTAAAAGATGAAAGGGGTGGGGTGGGGTGGGGGGGTGCAAAATTGCACCAAACACGCCCATGTCTAATTATAGTAACATGCTTTCTGCATGGAACAGTGTTACATGAACACCCCCCCCCCCACCCCACCCCCCCTCTCTCTCTCTCTCTCTCTCTCTCTCTCTCTCTCTCTCTCAGTCTGCCGAGAGGTTAGAATGAGATCTACTGTAAATGTATGCCAAAAGTGTGCAGCTGGCACCCGGATTCGTCCATTCAAAAGGATGAATCCATAATTCAGAATGTCCATAAATCAGGTGGTGAAACACAGACACACACACACGCACAGGAAACACTATTAATAAAACTCATGTGCAAGTAAAAAACAAATTAAGAGAATTAAATTATAGGATGCTGTCACATGCTTTGGATGGTGAATATACCTACAACTGGATTTATGCTATGGGATGTTTCCACACAATTTAAGCATTAATGGTTTTGTTAGTCATCCCTCTGTAGCCCTTCAAGGGACCTTCGTTAGAAATATGAAAATTATGAAGTGTCTCGAGTTATGAAACATGTGCTCTCAAAATGCTAAAGTGAAAAGTAAAAAAACAGTAAAAACATACGGTTTTGGCCATTTGTTGGAAAACATAAAATACAGCTAATCCAAGATTGCAGCACTGCTATCTTAGGCACACAATTTGCTTTACCTTTCCAGATTTCACTGACCATGATTTCCCTGCTGTACTTTTATGCAGAGATGTATAGTAACGAAGTAGAACTACTTAAGTACTGTACTTAAGTACTAAAATGCTGTAGCTGTACTCTACTAGAGTATTGTTTTTTTCTCATACTTCCACTTTTACTTCAGTAGATATTTTCAATGAATTTAATACTTTTACTTTGATATTTTTTTCATGTTCTGCGATAGTTACTCGTTAACAATTATACATTTTTTTACAAATTATTCGTTGCAAGTTGGCTTTCATGCTGCCTAAATCACACGGCAGTTTTATAGTGTAAAGGTATTGATTGACACACACATTGACAACTAATGGGGTTTTCTGCAATGACTTTTTTTTTGGCGGCCGCCAAAGCAAATTTGTATCCCGCCAAAGCGCCTTATTTGATTGCTAGTTCAAACTTTTGACTGCTTTCTTTAATAATTACATGACACAATACTTGTACTTTTAGTACTTAGTGAATTTTAAAATAAACTACTTGCAATACTTAAGTACAAAAAATGTTGAATACTTTAGTACTTCTACTT